TAAGAGCCTCAGCACAATAAAAGGAATAAGGAACAGGGAATAGAGAACAGAGAACAATCGTAGTAGAAAAAATGTGCACACAAGTGTTGTGTGCGCAACAACACTTGTGTGCACATTCCCTCTACTACAGTTGTTCTCTGTTCTCTATTCCCTGTTCCTTATTCATTTTATTGTGCTGAGGTCCTAACTTTTCCCCTAGGGCGAAAAAGTGAAAATTGAAAAATTTTGCCATTGATTTCAATGCTAATATTTTTCACTTTTCACATTTCCGCCCTAGGGAAAAAGTTACATGATCGGTACCCAGCAGAGAAAACGCTCAGTTATCAGGTTTGTTCGCGTTGCTTAAAATCCCCAAAAATTTTTGCACTTAAAACAAGATGAATATATATTCGGATGTTGAAGAGAGTGAAAGCGAAGATGCTGAGTGCAAAAAGTTCAAGCAACGCGAACAAACCTACTGTCTTGTCAACACTCGACGTTGATTTGTTCGTTCTAAAAGTAAGAGCCAATCACATTCGATTGCTACTGAGCGATTTTCTCTGCTAAACGCGGCCATTGTGTCCAACATATACCCGTCAAAACTAGAGTCCCTAGATTCTAGTTTCGGAACTTCGGAAAACGGGGTGCGTTCCGTTTCACGCATTGAGCGCATAGATCGCCTGGAAATCTATAGTTCACGTAACATATATTATAGATTTCCAGGCGATCTATGCGCTCAATGCGTGAAACGGAACGCACCCACGGAATCTCGAAGAAATAATGGAGTGGGGATCAAGGCGCGTATGGTCGGCTACTATAACCTGAGCTAATGCGCATGCTTCAGAAAATACCACGCTCACTGATTGTTATATTTACGATAAACCAGGAAAGAGCGATACAAACGCAAATATGGGTCGCAAGATACCGGCGAAGAAACACCGAGGTATCAAGGATCCCGAAAAACAGCGTGCCAAGCGCTTAGCAGAGTGAGTTGTATATCAGCAAAGTTGCAAGTTAAACGATGATATATAAAGCGCGCTCCGCTTGACGCTATTTTCGTTTCGAAGCGCAAGATTCTACGCCCTGATTGGTCCATCAAACGCTTCGAAGCGAAAATAGCATCAAATGGAGCGCACCCATAGATAATTCTTGTTAGCCAGCAACGTGTTTTAGGTTAGAGTCGCGTACAAATGCGGCACCAAAGGACACGGATGAGCAGGCAATCCCGAAGAGTCTCGAACACGTAATCAAATTAAAGGAAGCTGCAAAGAGTAATAATGGCATTCTAAAAAGAAAGCGAAAGAAGAAGAACGCGCTCATCTGCGTAGGTCAGCAACATCCTAAACTAAGTTTACATCCAAAAGCAAAGCCAGAGAAAATTGTACCGGTGTTTCAGCAGCGAGTAGATGAATCTGGTGAACAATTTTTGCACAGAGTTTCCAGGGACACACATGCCTTTCTCAAGGAGACTGCATTTGAGAAGAAGTATGGTGTCCAGATTGAACGGAACTCTGAAACTGGTCAAATCCAGGGTCTAACAAAGTGCAAACGCGAAAAGGACGATGTAGAAATGTTGCGAGCCAAACATAAAAACATCAAGAAAAAAAAGAAGACGACTGAGAGCCCTTTAACCAAGAGCGAGAAACGAAAGCTGAAGTTGCAATTGAAGAAAGAAAAAAAAGTAGAGGATATTGACGAGTTTAAAAATTTGCGAGACAAGGTTGCCTTTAATGAAGTAGTTCATGAACCTCCAAAGTTAAATATCAAATCGAAGAAAATTAATGAAGAGAGAAAACCGAAGAATTTGTTGCTTAATTCGCTATTGGAAAATTCTAAGCCTTCTTCCATTTCCAAAGTGATTGATCGATCTGGAAAGAGGAAAAACTTACCTGTGATAGAGAGAAGAAAACTGGAGAAACAACAGAACGAAGCTATTGCTGCCTACAGACAACTGAAATCCGAGCGATTGGCTAATAGAAGCTGCTAGGGTATGTTCAAAATTTACAAAGACAGTAAATTGTGTTTCAATAAAGAATTTATATTTGTTTTCTTTTTCTTAATTTAGTTTTGTTATTTTTCTATCCATTGCATGTAGAGATCGGATGTCAAAATTCTTATAATATAACTTGTAATTTTTTCAACTTAGAGAATTACAATGGGGTCTTCTTTGCTAGAAAAATGTAAGCGATAATGATTTTCAATTGCAACATTTGGATCCAATTTAACCCGTGGTCCAGACAAAAGGTTCAAGTCTCTCTTCTATCGGTAACAGATTGTTGAGTGTCTCTAGGCTCTCGAGAGTTTGATTAAGAAGCGAGTGGCATCTGGTGAGTTGGCGGCTGAGTTCGTGTATCTTGTTCAGCTGTTCGGCGAATCTAGCAAACTTCTTCTGCCGATCAACAGCAAAATTCAACGTCTTAACGAATTCCGCTTCTATATTAGTGCACAGAGTGACTTGTTCCGCGGCTGTTGTCTGCGCGTTCGTATTAAGATGATGTTGATAACGCGCGCAAAGGTTGAATAGGCCAACGGGATCAAGTCTCTCCAGGACTTCGGGATCGCGCACACCCGGCGGTAGGTTCAACGTGCCGCGCATAATTGGCAGAAACATCGGAATACTCTGCAATTTCACTAAATCAGGATCCTTGTCTGCTGTAGGATCTGCTTGAGCTGGCTTCACCACCACAATATTATGAATCTTATTATCCGATGTATTAGTCTTTGTGTGTCTGATAGAGGAATAGAAAAAAGATTAAATTGATAAAATGCTATATTAGATTGATATATAAGATATAGTATTCCTAAAATTTTAATTCTATGAGACATTTAATAAAATAAATCTAGTCTAGTAATAAAGTATTACATATTGTTTGCATATATGTTAAAGGGGCATAGTTTTTTTATATGCATGAGAAAATAAAATTGAGAATGTTATTTGGCAATATGTGAAATTTATTGTTGTTTTTTAATTATATATTCGATGGAAAATTTTTGAGAGTTACTGCAAACTGACATTTCATAATTGTCTTGGTATACCTGTGATTTATGGTGCTCAAACTATTTTTTCGCCTCGAAATCTCTCCAGCTCCAATACTCTTTCCTCTGTAAAGCTGTGACTGCTTGTTAGTCATCTTTGGCGAATCTCCGATAGGTCGATTCACTGTATAAGAAATATATGGGAGATCAGAATCAGAACAAATACTGGCGCCAGGACTGATGCATCTTGGTGGGGTATCTTCTGGCATTCTTTCGCGATTTGGAACACTTTTGCCTCGTCTAAGCTGACTAGTTCTCGCTCTTCCACTATTAGTACCTTGGTTACCACTTTGAGAGCTTTGTTCGGATCCCATTTTGAGGTTTCTTGTAATTTATCAAAAACAAGAGACTATAAGTGTCTGTATTACAAAATTATTTCAGCCAAATCAAAATATATTTAATATATTTCATGATATTTAATATTCCTTAATCATCTTCATAAATTATTGAGCTTACAATGAGCTTCACAAGTTGTGATGGAATGTCGAGCCACGAAAACTAAAAAAAGTTATATAAAATCATATTTCAACAAAGTATATATATATGACATATTTCATATATTTCACAGTATATTCTCACTGTTTTTGCAATTTTTATGAAATGCTTGATAGTATTTTTATTGTTATTTATATCTTATTATAACATATCGTCGTTGTGTCAATATAATCAATACTTTATTTTGTTAAAGATATTTTCAATTCTATGAAATGTTTTATCTATAGCACAAAATTTATTACACTAGGAGGTTATTGTATAACGTATTATTGTATAACACATATATACATGTTTATTTTGCCATTTAATATTTTCATTTATTTATTTGTTTATGTTTTTTTACACATATGTTGTTTATAAGTATTTTATTTATTTGTGCTTAGAGTTTATGTCACAATTATTTATATCTGATACTTCATATTCGATTTTCGTCTGCTGACTATCTGTCATCTGTCAATCTATGTTAATCGTTAACTATATAAAAGTATAGTTAAGAATATTCATTCGAAAAAATCGGTATGCGATAATTCCGCCATCTTGCATCGTATGAACGAAGTAGAAAATAGGGACTGGGTAGAAAATGCTTGATTCTGATTGGCGATTTGCTTATGCCCTAGGGATTTTACGTACAGGACACGGCGACGCTTGCGTGCAGCAAAAGGCGACGTAGTAACCAATCAACTCATTGCTTTTCTGAAAGAGCACAAAAAAAGTAGAAATATAAAATGTCAGTAATAAAGCAATAAAGAACAAACCTATATGTCGATACTCTGCATTAATCATTACTCGGCAAAAAATTATTGCAGACAAAAAATTAAAAAGGCATTTGAGGCTATTGAAGTTATAACAAAATAAATATTGTATATAGAAAATTAATAATTATTACAGAAAAAAATATTGTATTTGTATATAAGGAGTTTGTGTGTGTTACTATATACATATACATGTTATAAGAAAAGGGGCAAAAAGGGGAAAAAAATTCTTTGTGTGAATTCTCAATAAAAATAATATTTTGCATTTATAAATATAATTGACTTGTATTCACTCTTTGTACCTGAAAAAATTTTGATTAAGATACTGTGTCGATGCAAAATATTTTACCAGTCCTATAAAACATTTAGAATTTAAGTTTTCCCAGACAGCACAAGGATGTCCTTAGGACGTCCAAAGGGCATCCAGGACATACATGTAGGATTCGGTTATGTAGGCTATTTAATTTAATTTAGAAATTTTAAGTATTGTAATAAGTATTAATGTCCTATAAATGTCCATTGGATAACCCCTGGATGTCTGTAGGATATTTGCCCTGTCTATTATATTGGATGCCCTTTGGACGTCCTAAGGACATCCTTGTGCTGTCTGGGTAATAGACAGGGCAGATATCCTACAGACATCCAGGGGTTATCCAATGGACATTTATAGGACATTAATACTTATTACAATACTTAAAATTTCTAAATTATATTAAATAGCCTACATAACCGAAAGTAATCATGTATGCATATTAAATTTTCATAAAATATATTTATAATAATATCTTAAAACATCCTACAAATATCCTAAACCATCCTGGACATATTCAGGATGATCCTGAGGACGTTTTGTGCTGTCTGGGTTACTTTATGTCTAAAAAAAGATGTTATATATATAGACATATGTATATATTTTCAATATTATACAAATTTTACTTAATATATATATATAAAATTCTATGAATAAAAATGAGTTTTAATCTTTTAAAAAAAAAAAAAAATTGTTTCTCTTTCTACAATATTTTATTACTGTATAGCATTGAATTTGACAATAAGAATGGAATACATAAAACTTTTACGACACTTTTTTGCAATGACTGCTTGATAACATTTCAAAGAAGATACACTTATTTAATGGTACATAATGATAAGAACGATCATTATTTTTTATGTAGAATAGATAAAACATTTTTAGGCCATTTTTAATTTAGATGAAGTGTGTGTATTTGTGTGTAAAGAATAAAATAACACATTTCTATGCTAAGCCATAAAGCGACTAAATAAGATAAACTCAAAATTCAGAAAATATATTTTTTATTAAAATTAAAAAGATTTTTAAAATATTGAAATATATTAATTATAAATTTAAATAAATTAAAATACTTTTTTAATTATACATATATTATATATACATATATGTACACATGTATACACACATACATATATGTAAAATTTTAGTCTAAATATATATTGGACGTATTGCATTTTACATAAGAATAATATTAACTGATACCATCCATCTGAAGTTACAAACTATTTAAATATAAGTATATATTACATGTATTGCATTTTACATAACAATAAATTAACTGATACCATTCATTTGAATGTAAAAACTATATAGAAGATGAGTTGAATTATTTGACATATTTGATGCAACGAGACAATAGTGTGAAGTCACGAGAGAGTTGATCTGCCAAGTAAATAGCCAAACGACCGAATTTCACCGCAAAGTATTTGCGCGCACTTTTCTGCATATAAATGTACGATCGAGAAATTTTCTATTTTTGCGGTACATCTAAAATACGTAAAATCATGAAAATATAGGAAACCTTACAAATTTACAAGAAAACATAGCCCACACCAAAAATACATAAAAGTTTTCTATTATGTGTCCAAAATTATAAAGAAATAAACTGCGCTAATAAATATTTTTTTGCCATAAATATTAAAATAAATTTCATTTTCAGATTTATTGCATATTATTATACTTATACAGGATGTTCAAAAGAAAAACCATTCAATATTTATATGGTAGATAGGACACACCGTACTGAATAAAAAAAACCTTAGTAAACATAGATCGAGAGCTCAACCGTTTCTGAAATATAAACATTTTTGTATGTTAGCATTATGATTGACTTACTAGCTTCTACATGTCGCATGCGATGTTTACCTCAGTGTTTATAAACCGCGTTCTGAATGTCCTCATTCAATTTCCATACATACTTCATAACAGAAGATTTCACCGGCAATCAGTCAGTTGTCATCAACCGGCGATTGCGGATCTTTGCGATTTGGTGATTACGCAGTTACAAAGTATCGTGCTGAAAATGTCAATATATTACTCTAATAAAGAAATATCAGTGGAGCACCTTCTGTAAATATCGAGATAAAGATTTAGACAGATTATCTTCTTCTCACGTCGCATGCAACACGTAGAAGCCGGTAAGTCAATCGAGGCTAACATACAAAAATGTTTATATCTCAGAAATGGTTGAGCTTTTGACCTATGTTTACTAAGGTTTTTTTATTCAGTATAGTGTGTCCTCTATCTACCATATAAATATTGAATGGTTTTTTTGAACACCCTGTATTTATCTTAAATTTATATGCACGTACGTTTATATATATATATACATACATACACATACATATATATACATATATGTGTGTGTGTGTGTTTCTTGTCTTAATTAATAATATAAAAACAATATAAAACAATACAAAAAAAAATTTTTAAAGATATTTTGTGTGTGAAAAAAGATTTTTTACGATTATTTACTTTAACGCACACAATTATCTCTCTCTCGTTTATTTGTACAAAATATGTAATATTATTTCAATAAAATTTTCCATCTACCTTGCATTTATATTTTTCATTTATGCTTTTATCGCTGATAAATATTTTATTAGTGATTCATGATACTCTTTCAGAGATATGCGAAAAAAAACATTCGTGAAAGATAAATTTACGTAATTCGCGCTGCATTAAAGCGAAATGAAATGTTCAGACATGCATTTTTTGTTTATACATTTGTTCGAAAATTATTTTCACATTGATACGTGAAACCTGCTACACTTGAAAAAATACTTGTTTTAGAAAGTTTGCATTGAAATATTATTTTAACTACCTTACATTTTATATACCTTACGGGTGTGGCGATTAATTAACAAAGTTGCCATAGAATGTTACGCAAAATATTATGTAAATTCTCATTAGTTCGAGAATCGTAAAACATCTGCACATTTTTCGTGAAATTATATTTATTTTTATCATTATATATATATATATATAATTTATCATCTTTATTTAGAACACGCGCGTGCACACACACATATACAATTTGTTATTTATTATTTTTATAGAGATTTCTATTACATATTTTATATATAATATTATATTTTATTATATATTTTGACGGTTATACAGTTATACAATGTTATAATGATAAGCGTGACAATTTTAAATAAATTTCCAGTTAAACTTTTTATTCTCTTTTTGTATAAAGCGGGAAATAAATCAAACGAAATTGAGGCTTGCGATTTACTCAACATATACTTTGTGTATACATATGTATCTCGATCGCTATACACGAATCGCATATCTCGGGTGTCGCGAAAAGGTTGAGTGTCGCATAGTGTCTTTACGACATCCTTTTATTTTTTTTGATGACAACAGAGACCATCTTCTGTTGAAGTCTCGCGCGTCAGGATACGAGCAATTCGAATTTAATGTCGTTTTTATACTCGTTCGTTCACTTGATTTTTATCTTAAAATTGCGCCTTCGAGGGATACGACCCGACGAGCCCTTGTATCCTACTTTCAAGTCATCTTTTAATGATTTATGCCGATGATATGATATACATCGAAAATACCTTGTCTTGATCCTTAGATGTTTATTTAAACCATATTTTTTCATCCATTTAATATAATTATGTAACATACACAAATACATATTGTGAAATGAATTGTATATATATATATATAAATTCTTTTTTGATTATTTCTAGAGAAATAAAATACTTATACATGTGAGTGAAAACAATTGAAACAAACAACATTTTTATAATTTTATTTTAATTAAATGTAGAAAATTATATAGAATGTTATTAAAATTTTCCAAACTTCTATAAACTTTTTGTAATTTGGAAAGCCACAAACACATTTGGCAAAAACTCAAACATTTATAAAATAAAAACATTTTAATATACGTATTATAATGTACAATGTACATTATTATATAATACATACATATATTAACGTACATATTATGTAATATGTATACATTATCGGAAAATATTTTTTGTTGATATTTTACATATAACCGACCAGACTCATTGCATATAAAAAGGTTAGTAGAATAGCTAGCAATATAATATAAATTTTGTGCAAGATCCTGTAACGATTTAATAATTTTTGTCACTGCCATTGAATATGTTTAAATTATATATTATATATAATATTATATATAATATGGTAAAATAATTGGAAATTGGATTCGGCGGAAAATGTGCTGCATATATAATACTTTTCTTATGAGCTAGATAAAGAAATACGATTTCTTTAATTGAAATAAATTCACAGAAAGATACAAAGTAAATCAGCTAATATAACTGGAAAAAACAGTTTCTTTTTTTTTTAAATTTTTTCTGCATTTTTTTAGATATATGTATATAAGAGTATATTTAAGGGAAATGAAATTATCTGTTTTCTCTATTATATCATTATATTATATCTAATTGTGTTTGATTAGATATATCAGAGAATTGTGACAATGATAGAGAATTGTTGGCCTTAATTGTTACACAATAAATAATAAATACTAAGTTACATCATACAATATCTGATAAATATATAAATTATATATACACGATGTATTTCACATTAGCTCTATTACATGCCATTTTCTACACAACTATTAAAAATATTGATACAACTTTCTTTTAAATTTCACGGAATATAGAGTTTTTTTATACTTTATAGTAAACAAAATAAAATTTTAAAAAATGTATACGATATCTTCAATAATTTCTTACAAAATGGCGTGTAACAAAGTTAGTGAAACACCCTGTATATAAGTATATAAATTTTTAAATATGTACATTACATTTAATATAAAAAAGATCAATTTTTCACCGGATTATCATCTCCTTAATCGAGCATAGGATGTGATTACGAATTTATTATATTACATGTACGAGTATATATGTATATACGCGGGGGTAGCGCGGTTAGGGTGGTATGGTGTGGGTGGTGGTGGTGCGAGGTGCGCGATACGCGTGCGTAGAATGTGGTGGGAGACACGCGCGCGGACCGCGGGCCGCTGGCAACCACGATGACGGAGTGACGGAGCAATGCGAGGATCGTGAAGTGTGTAGTGTGCCGCGAGCTGCCGACGAGTGAGGATGGTTTTTCACGCGCGCTCCATCCCGACAACTGCCCAACCACGTGGTGCTCCTATATATCTCTCGCCTTCCATCGTTGCTGTCGTACATTTTATTGCATGATCGCGTGACGCGTTTGGAAATCGGGTCGTGCGTTTCGTTTCGTTTCCTTGCAATTCAAATTGTCGATTGCCGGCGTTACGAGGCCTGTCCTTCGATTTTCCCCGGCGTCGCGACGCCATCGTTCCGTCAAAAAATCAAAGCTCATAGTAAGATATCCATGAGTGTATAAGAAATATTTGTGAGTGTTTATAAAGTTCTGCCATCCAAGAAATCCGGCTGCGACAAGAGGGTGACTGAGAAAAAGGGTATGTATAATGGTTCCGTTCAAGTTTTTCTTTTTATTCTATTAAATAAAAATATTAAAAAATTTTCAATGCATAAACAATATAATTATTCATTTTTAAGAAATCGAAATGTTGAGGTATACATTATATCACATGACAAACTGAAAGATAAATTTTATTTTTTCCAAATTCTATTACAGATATATTAAGGACGTTTCCTCTCTCTCTCTCTCTCTCTCTCTCTCTCTCTCTCTCTATAAAAGGAATTGAGTTTTCCCTTATTAGCACACTTCTCTTTGAGCACATAAAGTACGTTTTAAAGCTGTCTCTGTCTAAGAATAAAAATTATATTTGAAATATGTAAAATAAATTATTTCTGTTTTCAATTTTTTATTTATATAAATAAGTTTTCTTGTTTGAATAGACACACAATACATAAAATTTTTTATATGACATATATACATATACATATATACATACATATGTTGTTTTTTGTGTAATTAAAGTTTATCAAAATATAACTACTCAAATGTAAATGTCAGATTAGAAATTAATTAAACTATAAAATAAAACTCTAATAAAGTAATAAAATTATAAGTGAAAAAATAAGAATAAAATAATAGAACTTATACTAAAATATAATAATAGAACTATAACTAAAATAAAGTGAGAGAATTATAATTGAAATAAAATAATAGAATTATAATTAGACGTAATAATTAAATTATTAAGATTAATATGTAGACTGATGCAACCAAATTTATCAAAGAAAACTTGCATTAACACGATTATTATATTACGAATTGTTGTAACGACATTAAAAGTAAACGTGAATAAATTGAACGTTGCCTAAATTAAAATGAAAAATTTGTATTGCATTGCGAAATTGCAAACTCTATCTGTTTCAACAATTGCGGTTTGTTCTGCGATAAACCGCATAATAACATCAATTTGCCCAAGGATGGAAACGATAAAAAATGTTTATTTTAAAGTTTGTCCGTGGAAATAATAGCGTGAGAAACAATTAATTGCAAAATTACAGCACGTGTCAAATTACGATGCAATTTTTCTGAACGGAAAAATCCGATACAACGAAAAAATATTGTGGTTTCAGTATTGAATATTTTAATACGTAAAATAATATAAAATTAAGCACATATTAAAAGAAAAATATTAAACAATCATTTTCTATTTGCATAAAATAGAAAAAAATATATATATGTAAATTTTATTTTTAGTTCTTTCAAGTGTAGTTTTTTTTAGTTTATATATTATATTATAAAAAAAAACATCTGCACGCTATTATATATAATATAT